AAAAAGCAGTTTAGAGTTCAGGGTGTTAGAAGTAGAGCATTTACAAGCACTTCCTTAGCAGGCCCCAAAGCAAGGCTATGCCTAGAGATAACAGTGATGTGCATGTGGACATCACTGTTGTTCAAAAGGTGAAGGAACTGTGATTTCAGAGAATCAGAAAGGTAACAGGGTGAAGGGGCAGGTCTCTTCAATACAGTAAACCCGGGGCGCCTGGGTGGCTCAGTCGGTTAGGTGTCTGCCTTCGGCTTGGGTCGTGATCCTAGGGTCCTGGGATCGAGCCCCACCTCGGGCTCCTCGCTCAGCGGGGAGCCTGCTTCTCCCTCTCCCTCTGCTGCTCCCCCTGCTTGTGCTCTCTCTCTGTGTCAAATAAATAAATAATCTTTTTATTTTTTTTAAAGATTTATTTATTTGAGAGAGAGAGACAGAGAGAGAGCATGAGAGGGGGGAGGGTCGGGAGGGTCAGAGGGAGAAGCAGACTCCCTGCCGAGCAGGGAGCCCAATGCGGGACTCGATCCAGGGACTCCAGGATCATGACCTGAGCTGAAGGCAGTCGCTTAACCAACTGAGCCACTCAGGCGCCCCAATAAATAATCTTTTTAAAAAAGATTCAGTAAACCCTTTGCCCAGCGTAGTGCCTGGTATACAGTAGGCTTTTATGTGACATTTTTTTTGAATGAGTGGATGGATATTATAGCACTGATCACAGTTACTTGTTTTCCTATCTTCTTTCCCTATTGTGCAATATGCTCCTTGGGTCTTATTTCTGTATCTCTAGTGCTCAGCATAGGTAAGAAGAGGTGCTTGAATCAAGATGTGAGTAAGCAAATGAATAGTGATCTACAAAGAAAAATGACAGGGAAAGGGAGAGACAGAAAAACTTGTGAACCAGGTGCTAAAGTCCTTAAGGGTGGTGAAAGAGTACCTTGTAGTAGGTCTCTAGCTAGGACCTTTGCTACTGTTTGAGTAGTATAAGCAAATGACATTGACTCAAAAGAGGCGAGATTGATGAGAGGAAAGAACACCGGATTTGGAAGTTGCAATAGGAGAAGAAATATTTCAGTTTCTCTTTCCCCCTCCTGTGAATTCTGGAGGAATTGGCACAGTGTGTTTTCTACTCTGTCCGCCCCCAACCCCCACCCAGTCTGTCACCTAGCCCTCTCATTTTTTTCCAACTATATCTTACTTTGCTTCCTGATGCTCTTGTGCTTAGAATGCTTCAGTACCCTTTTTGCCAACCCCTCTGCCTCCAGACTTTCTCTCTTTGGCCTTCCATGCAACAGCAACAATCAGAGTTCCTAAGCATCATTTTTCAGCAACATCAGTCCCTATACTTCTCCAGTGACTCCTGTTGGACTGTCAAACCAAATGGAAACTTTCAGTCTTTAAGAGTGTCCACCATGTAGCCCTCACATGGAAGATGTCCTCACTTGCAGTGGCCTTGATGTTTACACTGTGTACAAAATACTTTACCTTTTCCAAAGCTTCTCATTTACCCTTTTCTCTAGCCATCCAGAGCCCTCTTCATCAGAATTCCCTGGGGACTCGTTTTCTCTTCCTGGCTATCATTCAAACAGCTGTCCCAGAAACACCTGCCTTCCTTTATCCTTTTCTCTGTCCTAGTACAAAACACTCATGAATGTTTTATATATATGTTTTTCTTGTGTGTCAGTATGTGCTGCCCTATCAATTCTACCCTAGAAGTATCCCCCAAATCCATCTCTTCTTCCTTTCCCTTGCTGCCACTGGCCTGGATGGGTGCAAATGCCCCCTGATAACCTTCAGTATATCCTACGCTATAGCCAGAGTATCTTTTCAAAATGGAAATCTGACCATTCCCCCAACACATGTACATGCATGGAAACACACAGACACACACAATGTTTGAGATGTTCCATACTCTTGAAGTAAAAGTCCCCACTCATTAGCCTGCCTGGCATATCTGGCCCCATGTGTCCTAACCCTCTTTTACTTCACTAGCCTCCCTCCCACCCCTGCCTGTTTCAAGCCATCATGCTCTTGTATGTACAGTTCTTTCTCTGAACCTTGCCTCCTACCAGTAACCCTCACAACCGTTCCTGCTGCCAACTCCACTATCTTCACCCCACATGCCTGTAAACTTTTCCTATTCTTTCTTTTTTACTTTTTATTTTGAGATAATTATAGATTCAAAGAAGGTTGCAAAGAAATGTACAAGAAAGTCCCAGCCTCCTGCAATGTGGACATCCTGCACAGCTATAATTCAACATCAAGTTAAGAAGTTGGCATTGGTACAATTCATAGAGCTTACTCAGTTTTCACCAATTATGCATGCACTCGTTGTGTGTGTGTGTTTGTGTGTGGCTCTATGAGATTTTTATCACATGTGTAGCTTTGCATAACCACAACCACCACCACAGTCAAGATACAGAACTGTACCATCATCACAAGGCTGTCTCATAGTACTATTTTATAGCCACACCCATCCCTAACTACTGGCAACTTCCAATCTGTTCTCCATCCCTCAAAGTGTTATTTAACAAATGGTGTATAATGGAATCATGCAGTATAGATTTTGTATTGGCCTTATTCACCCAGCATAATTCCTTTGAAAGCCATCCAAGTTTGTTTTTTTTTTTTTTTCATTTATCAATAGCTTGTTTCTTTTTATTGATAAACACTATTCCAGTGGTATGGATATACCACAGTTTGTTTAACCATTCACTTATTGAAGTACATCTGAGTGGCTTCCAGTTTGGGCTGTTACAAATAAAGCTGCTGTGAATATTTGTGTACAAGTTCCTATATAAAAATAAGTCTTAATTTCTCTGGTATAAATGCCCAAGAAGGCGATTGCTGGCTCATATGGTAAGTCTATTTTTAAATTTTTTTTTTAAGATTTTATTTATTTGACAGAGAGAGCACAAGCAGAGGGAAAGAGAGAGAGAGAGAGAAGCAGGCTCCCTACTGAGCAAGGAGCCCGATGTGGGACTTGATCCCAGGACCCTGGGATCATGACCCGGGCCGAAGGCAGCCGCTTAACCGACTGAGCCACCCAGGCGTCCCAGTCTATTTTTAATTTTGATGGGAACTGCCAAACTATTTTCCAAAGTGGCTATACCATTTTGCATTCCCACCCACAAGCTATGTGTGGTGTAGTTTCTCCACATCCTCACTAGCAATTGATGTTATCACTATTTTTTCATGTTAGCCATTTTAATAGGTGGTTCACTGTAGTTCTTATCTTTTAAGACCTAAGTCAAAAGTTACCTCTGTAGAGCCTTTTCTAACATCTTCTAGAAAAGTCAGTTAGTCCCTTCTCTGTGCCATCTCTGATATTTCATTTATCATTGTATTTTAATTACTGATTAACATAGTATGAGCCTTCCCCTCTGTTCTGAGCCACATGAATATAAGAGCTGTGTCATATTCATCTTTGTTCCTGCAGCATCTTGTACAGTTAGATGCTGGACACACAGAGGGCACTCAGTAAATAGGTGTAAAATGAGGGAAAGAATGAATGAGGAAACATTAGTCTTTCTTGCCTCCCCTTTCTTCCTGTTAAGCTATAAACCTCTACAGAACAGAAATCATGCCTTCTTCTGTGTCTCCTGATAGCAGCTAATAGGGTGCCCTGTACATGTCGATGCTCAATAAATGTTAGCTAACTCTTCAGGTGGCTTATCTTCCCCCTGCATCGGGAGATAAGCACATGAAAGAGAGAATAGGCTTGAGTATTTCTCTATTAAGGATCATATGCCATAAGTTTTGTAATATTCTTATAATTTCCACAGTCACACAATATTTGTCTGCATAGATGAGAAATCAAAACAAAACCATCTTTTGAGTCAAAGAATACCTCTGCAGCTGAGCACTTTTCAATAGTTTCAATACCCCGGTTACATATGAATTTGGGAGAATAACATTTTATATCCCTTGAATTCTTTTTGCAGTTTTCGGAGGATCTGGAATATTTCTGTTTTTGCTGCACTGGTATAATTTGACATGTTGATTATGAAGGGGTCATTAACCCCAACATTTTTTATCACTTTCTGAGTCTGCATTCTCTCAACTCTGAAGTATGTTAATTTGCACTTGTTTATATGTCTCTGTAAGAGTTACTCAGGCCCATGAGGACTGGTATATGTTTTGTCTGGAAACTAGATTGTAAGCCCCTTGAGAGGAGGGACCTTATAACTCCGAAGAATGTATTCTGGACAGTGTCATTGTTCAATTAATGATAATACTAGAAGCCTGACTAAGGTCATCTGTCACATTGACAACTTCCTTAGAAGTTAGATGCTTCTAACTGTCAGGGGGGGAAAAAAGCTGTTACATTGATTTAATAGCACTGTATGATTCTACCCAAAATTATCCTTATTATTGCTCACTACAACTTATTCTTTAGGGTGCTTTCAGATTTATAATTTTGGATCAATGGTTATCATTTCCTACTCCATAAGACTGGTTACATATGATTTAGGGAGGGCTACATTTCATAACCCAGAAGTCCTTTAGCATAATAGAAAGTAAGCTGGTAACATCTATGCTTTCAAAGCATGTTAATTCTCTGCAGCAATTTCCACTGATAACTAGATAATAAACTCCAAGTATGTTGACAATCTTAAATCATCAGAACTGTTCAGTGTATATGTCTTACTTTCCCAGATTGTAAAATGGAGTAAATATGTATACTCTGTCCTGTGGCTGTTGAAGTTAAGTGAATATGAATATTTAAAGGAAGTTTGTGTTCTAAAGCATAAGGGTAAACTTGGTCCTTGGTAAGGTGAAAGTGGAGGGAATGTTTTTCCTGATTCGGGTTTTTTAAGGTATAATTTACATACAGTCTGATTCACCCTTTTTAGATGAAAAGTTTGATGCCTTTGACAAGTTGGGTCTTTTTTTCCTTCACTATTTGCTGACTCAACTATACCTCCAACTGCTCCCCACCACCACCACCACCACCCCTAGACCAGACTGATCTATCTTTTTCTGACATTTTCTATCCTTTCTCTTTTCTACAGTGTACTAAAGGAGGTATACATAGCCTTTAATCCCAAAGCAGTGGTCTTACAGCTGGGAGCTGATACGATTGCTGGGGATCCCATGTGCTCCTTTAACATGACTCCAGTGGGAATTGGCAAATGTCTTAAGTACATCCTTCAGTGGCAGTTGGCAACACTCATTTTGGGAGGAGGTGAGTACAAAGGAAGGTCACCAGGAGAATTTGCTGACCTTCTTCCACGTTTTGTCCGTTGACACTGAGGAAAACTTGGCTTTCTTAGATTGGATAATACCAACCTGCCTGTGATCCAGAGGGTTGAGTCAAAGAACTCTGCCCCCTTCACAATTCAGCATAAGGAAGTACTGTGACACACTTCTCCTCAGCTTGGCATGTGCATTGACTCCTTGGCACTCTGAAGTCTCAGTTTCACTTCCTGAAGCAAAGGTCCTTTGGTTAAAGGTGCCATCAGATCTTATTAAGAATAGCAGATACTAACTTCAGTGGACTTCAGTCCATCTTCTCTCAATATAGTTTTTGACTCTCAGTTCTAATAATCATCTTTTGGAAACGTACCACTAAAATTCTAGGTCTACCCATATAAAAGTAGTAAATACATGAATTAATTAAATATCTAAGCTGAATTCAAGGATGACTTCTCCCTCTAACCCCCACCAAAAGAAGCATGGATTTGTTACAATAAAGCAAAATTGAGAGAACTAGAGTCTCTTGGGCATCCTTGCCTTCAGTGTGTACTGACATTTTGTATGACTTAACCAACATAAAGCTGGGTCTATTCAATAGAAGCATTTACACATTTGCGAAAGGTACTTTTTACAACCTCAACTACCTTTGAAGATTCCTTGCTAAGAATCTTCTGACTATCCATCTGGCACAATCTTTATTTCACTGGGTGAATGGATTGGTGTGTTAAAATAACACGGTCAAGCAGATTGAGCTTAAAATGCATGTATTATGGAACAGCTAATAGTTTGTTGTTTTGTCAACCTGTTGTAAAAACCAAATTAGAGGAGGCTGTGGGAAGGCCTTATGAAAATGAGTGAGTATTCAACACAAATACACAAGCCTGGTCCTTTGGCAGCCTCAAATCCTAGAGGGATCAAAACTACAGGTGCTTACCAGAGGCAACATCTTATGAAAAGCTGGCAAAACATCTATTAACTTCAACTCAGGGAAAAGATAAAATTGATAAGTATTGTATGACATATTACTTTCCTTGACAGCGCTAAGGACACTGATGACGATATAGGTACAACCAAGGGGAAGAAAAAAGCCCTTTCCACAACGTACATCTGCACAAATTCAACTTTTGTTTGTGGCTACTGCCTTGGCATTTTCAAAGTCTCTTTGCTTTCTCAGCCCAAAGTTTTGGCTTTTGGATATATAACTCTTCTTATGCAGTATGTGTACTCCTGAAAATTCCTGTATGTAAATGGAATTTTTGCAAATCAAATCATACTGTGTATGTACCAGAGAGAGCTTACTACTTAAAATCTAGAGTGAATCTTTTTGAAATCAAATAATCATACCCAATAAGTTGATCTTCTAAATTCAGATTTTTCACATCAGGAGTGTTTAAAGTAATAAGTGTACTATTTCACTTAAATTCTCAATCCCCAGTAACACATAGACAACCAGTGGAGATGGCCATGTCCCCAAGCTTCATTGGACCCCACTGAGGCCTAAAAGACATTCCAAAATCCCCAGTATCCCTGACCTTTCAAGGAGAAAGGCTTTCAAGGCTTGAGAGAAAGGTGACCATATATCCCAATTTATACATGTTATCCCAGTGTTCCCTTTTACTGTTAAAATGTACCATTTGGACAGTAAATTATATGGTTACCCTACCTAAAATAGACCAGCTTCTATTTCCCTCAGGCTGCACTGAGGTTAGGAAATCAGTCCATTTCATCCTCACACTCTTGGAATTTAGCTAAAGGCCAATGTTCTAATGCTTGCATGGCAGAACACATCTATTCAGTGCAAAAATATGCTGATTATTAGCCAGTATAATATGGCTGCTGGGTGACTGTGACAGAACCTGACGAGATGGGTCAGAGCGTCAGTCAACAGTCCCTTCCTCTTCTCATTCTCTTTGATCTCTGTCACTAGGCCTGTGTTTTGTGGAGAAAAGGAAAATGCTGATCATTGAAAGAAGGAAGTCTATGTCTGTCAGCATTTTCCATTTCTCTTTCCTGGGTATTTCTAGGGCTATATCTGCCAGTGGCTTTAACATACAAATTACATCCAGCAGCTGTTTTATAGAATTGTTGCAAAATTCATCACAGAAACCTTGACATTGGGTAGGTTGCCCCAAGAGATCCGGGTTCCAGGGATCTCAATCTTGCTGATGACTTGATGAAATGGAGGAGCTTGGAATCCTCGGATACATATTTGTTCAGAGATGAGGGCCTCTTTAATCTTTGCAGGCCTTAGACTTCCTAGTTCCACACCATACATGGTCTGACTAGTCCACTAAAGTCCGTCTACTAGGTGGTTCAAAAACATCATAAAGGGATGTTTAGGTGAAATTCTGCAAGTTGGAGTTGTCTTTTTAGCCCTTTTATTAAAACATTTTTCTCTCCTTCCTTACCCTCCTTCCCTCTCCTGCTGTTTTGTGACTGTTCTTTCCTAACTTCACAATTCTTGATGGAGACAGGAGGCTATAACCTTGCCAACACGGCTCGATGCTGGACATACTTGACCGGGGTCATCCTAGGGAAAACACTATCCTCTGAGATCCCAGATCATGAGGTAAGTAAGGCTCTGACAAGTCCTCTCTTCTTTAAGGGGAAGAGCTGAGTCATTCCACCTAATCAAAATCACGTCCTCACCACTCAATACCGTTTTGTTGAGAGACACTCCAATAACAATAACACACTGTCTTGGCAGAATAGTGGACTCTTGTTCCAAAATATCCAAGACCTTCTGCCTTTTTTTACAAGAGATCTCAAAGGCCAACTAACTTTAATTTCTCAATTAATTACAGAGACTGTGGGAAGGGGTCACCTGTTCACACAAAGAACTCTTTGGAATGTGTGCATATTTTCATCCCCTAGTCTCAAAACAGAAGGAGCAATTTTTAAAATGTATAAGCTGGGTTCTTGGCTATCTTTCAAAAGTCCCATAGGTGGTATGTCACACCTATGTTCCTTGGGGTTAGTCCTGGTCTTTCGGTTTTCTTTGACTAAGGTAAAATTTAAGAAACACAGAATCACCACAAAGATGTGTCTGGTGTTTTTCCAGCAATTAGTGGCGCACAGAGGTTGGGGGAAGAGCACCTAAAATGTGAAACTTCATTTGAACTTTTGCCATTTTCTCTAGTCAAATGAGATGGCCTATCCACTTTCTGAAGCAAGGATGTCTCTTTTAGCTTTCTCAAAACAGGCTAACAGAAAGCTGTCTGAGCCCAGTGAGTGTGCTGATTATCCCTTATGTGAAGGTGTACCCCTTCTCTTCCCACCCCTCCCCACACCTGGCAGGAAGCATGTCATCACAGATCAAGATGTATAGCTGTCGGGCTTAGACTGATTGTGTGGCTTATAATAAAACCAGTGTGCGACCCAGTACCTATAGCCCCGCTTTCTCAAGCCATTCCCCGTAGAGATGGTACTTCGGGGATGTTTTGATTCCTGCCAGATGCAGGATCTGTACACTTGGGAGCACTATTCTTTTTAAAGTTACTATTAGTTTTTTAAAAATTAGAAACAACTTCAACTAATTCCCTTCCAATTTTCTTCTAAACACAAATGAGGTATAATATGTATCTCTGAAAAACCACTCAGTGTGTCTAGAATACAAATAGAAGGCATGCTATAATTTGAGACAATTTGCTGGTGTCAGGGTTAATAGAAGTCTCTTTTCTTGACTTACCTTTGTTCGGTATTTGGAAGCTTTATGAAATATAAAGATGAGCAAACAAATTACATTTGTGAGCAAATGTAATCGCTGTTATTGCTGTGGGACTATCTCCGACTGCATCGTAATTTAAAGCATTGAGACTTTAAAAACTGATCAAGTTATATCAAAAAGGAGTTTTAAACTGTAGGGGCTTGAATTGAAAACGAGTGTTCTGTTCCTAGGCAACAATGCAAATCCATAGATTCATCTTAAAAGGTTGATAAAATTTTAATAAAGATGAATACTGCCTCTGGTACCTGGAGAAGCTATGTGCCTGAATAGACAGGGTTTGGGCCTTATACATAGACATGTCTCCTTTATGCTGACATATTCTGCCAGATTAAATAATATACAATGTATGCAAATTGCCTAGCACAGTTCTTGGCACATAATAGGCACTTTTGAAATGCAAGTTTTCTCCTTCCCCTCTGCATGCTCCCAGCAACTCCTTATACCCAGACATTTATGACTTTGTCGCTCATAAATGTGTCCAAACCCTTTTTGAATCCCTTCTGTCATATCCTTCTGGTATAAGAGATGTGAGTCATCCAAGAAGGAACAAAGAAGAAAATTGAAATGACAGTCTTCCATGTACAATAAGATAACATTTTAATGAAAATTGCCAAAAATAGACTGCACAGTGTGAAGGCAAATGTAAGTTTCGTGCCACAATACACAGTTGCACACAGATATCCTTGTGGTTCTCTGTAATCAGGTCAACAAATGGTGCATCAGAAAATATTTACTGAGTACCCATTGTGTGGCAGGCACCATGCTAGGTGTCTTGGAAGATGCAAAGACACTAAGACCTCATCTTGTCTCTTACCTCAAGCAGCCTGGGAGGGAGGCTGGTATAAGTTCTAGGGAGACAAGTAGATACACAAATAATTATATTACAGAGCAGAGTAAGAACCACAAGATAGTAGGAACAATGATTGTGGAGATGTGCATCAAGTATGAAAGGGATACAAAGGAGTGTACAAAATACCCTGCCTTCCAGGAGCTGAAAATATAATTGAGAAATCTAGTCAATGAAAAGGTCAAGATAGTGCAGCAGTCAGCTACAGTCTGGCTGACCCCCTCACTGTCTTCACTTTCAGTCTTGGGCTTGTGTTCTTCTGTGTCCTAGGATAATAATCTTCCTCCTCCAAATGTTCTTTCCCCATCTGTCTCTTGTCTTCCTAGGTGCAGCTTCAAGCCCTGTGCCTTTAAAAATCCCTTACCATATGTATACCAAGGCCCTTTGAGCTCTTCCTTCACATTCATTTATTCCTTCATTCATTTAACAAGTATTCATGGGGACCCTATTACTTGCCAGGCCCTATTCAAACTTGAATTCAGAGCTACAAAGACTAGCAAGTAAACCCAGTGCCCTCAAAAATTTCACCATCTAATAAAGGCGACAGAACAATGTGCCCAAATCCAGGACAGTTGAGGAGAATAGAAGAAATGTTTCACCAAGACTTTGAACTGAATCTTGGAGGTTGATTGGGAGTTTGCCAGGTGAAGAAGAGCGAAAGACATTCTAGGCAAAGGGAACAAGGATTGGAAAAGACCTGGTGCCTCATGGGATGAGGGAGAAGTTTGATATGTAGTAGAACAGAATTTATGAGGGAAAGTGGGAAGAATTAAGGCTTGAATGAAAATTGGAGCCGGATTATGAAGAGACTTGCACGCTGCACTAAAGAGTTTATTTATACTTTTTTTTTTTCTGTGAAAACAGATGAGCTTTGGTTTTTAGAAAGCTTACTCAATAGCATATGGAAGATAGATTGCAAAAGGGAGAGACTTGAGAAAGGCAAACCTGTAAAGAGGTTCAAGTACACTCCTATAACATAGTCTATACCATTCATTTGGTCATCTGTGTTTTGGTTGTCTGTATTTCCCCTCAGTGCTTAGCACAGTGTTAGCTACCGACCTTGTTGGTGTTCATTCATTGAATGAACAACTTAATAAATGAGTGTTTGAATAATAAGCATCTCAATATTCACATTGGAAAACTCTTTTTAAGATGGAAGAATTGGAAGCCTTTTGCTGGAAAAGCTTCCAGTAGCAACTACCCATCCTTTGCAAGAAGTACCAGGTATCCCAGCTGTAGGAAACAGATGTGTCCATGGGAAAACACTAGATTGCCAGTTGAGGGAAGGGAGTTGAGAAGACAAGCCCAGCACAAATATTAATAAGTCATTAGTGGTGAGATTTCAATCACAGTGCTCATGAGATATAAAACCAGTGATGTCATAAAGCCAGTGATCAGGGAGTTAGTCCCAGCTCAGGAATTGGGGAGCCGGGCATGGAATAAAGAAGCAATCCCATCTGGAAGAAGAGTTGGGCCCAGCTTGGAAAGCTGAGAGGAAGGAAACCTGCCCATATGCCTGGCTCAGGTATCTCTACCATAGAGAAAGCCCAAAGGTGGCATGAAGTCCCATACAAAGACCAGTACATGGCTAATTTAGCAAATCACCCACTCTGTGTAATAAAGTTTATGGACTATCATATATAAGAATGTTCTGTAATCCAGTAATACTATTTGGATCCTATGATCCAGGATAGAGTATGGCAGTTATGTTATATAATGTATGCATATATACATATATATATATATATATATGTATGTATGTATGTACAGACATATTAGGTATATGTATATATCTGAATCGGTTAGGTTTACTAACAAAATCTAGTGAATGAAAAATATTTACTTAACCAGACCACTTTTGATGGACTGGTTGGATAAACTATGCCTGACTCATATGAGGGAATATATGTAGCCATTGAAAAGAATCGAGTAGATTTATATACAAGAATGTTACTGATGTAAAACAGTCTTGCGGTGCATCTGTGGATTGCACTGAATCTATAGATCGATTTGGGGAGGAATAACATCTTAACGATATTTAATCTTTCAATCCATGAATTTGCTATATCTCTCCATTTTCTTAAGTCTTTAATTTCAAATTTTCATTTATACTTTTCAGTGAACACCTCTTGCACAAATTCTGTTATATTTATCCCTAAGTATTTCATGATTTTGATGTTATTATAAATGATATTTTTAAATTTCAGTTTCTAATTGTTTGTTGCTAGAATATAGAAACCCAATTGATTTTATACTGATCTTGAATAATGTATCATTGCTAAACTCATTAGCTCTAGTAGCTTTTTGTAGATTCATTAGCATGTTTCATGTATACAAACATGTCATCTATGAATAAAGAAAGTTTTACTTATTCCTTTACAATCTTCATGACTTTTATTTCTTTTTCTTGCCTTATTACACTGGTTGGGACCTCCAATTTGATGTTAAATAGAAGTGGTTAGAGCAAACATCCTTGTCTTCTTCCTGATCATAGGGGGAAGCACTTAATCTTTTACTGTGAAGTGTGATGTTAGCTGTAGGTTTTTTCATAAATGTTCTCTATTAAGTTGAAGAAGATCCCTTCTGTTCCTAATTTACTCAGAAGTTTTCTCACAAATGAGTGTTAAATTTTGTCAAATGCTTTTTTCCCCATCTACTGGAATGATCATATGGTGTCCTCTTATTCTGTCAATACAGTAAATTGCATTAATTGTTGCCTTTTTAAATGTTAAACAACCCTTGCATTGCTGGAATAACCCTAGTTGGTCACGGTATATTCTTTTTATATATTGCTGGATTCAGTTTCCTGAAATTTTCTCAAGGATTTTTTGTGTCAGTGTTGATGAGGGATGTTGACCTGCTGTTTTCTTGTAATGTCTTTGTCTGGTTTTGATATCAAGGCAATGCTGATCTTATAAAATGACTTGGGAAGTGTCCCCACCTCCTCTCTTTTTCTGAAAGAGTTTATGTAAAATCGATACTATGTCTTACTTAA